TCGGCGAAATTGGCGCATTTGCATTGCCATTAAAACTGTTCGAGCTGTGCGCTAATGAGCTATTTGCATCTTTGTTTCAAAAAGTGCTTATCGGAGACAGAGAGAGAGAGAGAGAGAAAGAGGGAGATACCTGTTAGACTGATGCAGCTACTCGAGCAGCACATGTCTGAGTTTACACACAGCTTGCTGCACAAGCTCAAGTCTAAAGCCCACCTAGCAAAAGAGATTTTCTCGGTGCCAGCTGTCAGAGTCTAAACAGCGCTGATGTCTTGCCAGACTTTCAGCAATAACAGCTGCGAATTCCCTATAAAATGTCTACGCGCTTCAAGCTACAGCTTGACTTGCTGATATTTGTTTGAGAGAAGCATCGGCTTACATACAGCAGACAGAGCCTTGGCTGTTGAATCTACAATTGGCAGTCACAATGGTATTGGTGAATGGAACTATCGATAGTATCGTAAGGATTATCTATTGAGTGAAGCCTCTATAGAATCTATTCCATTTTCATACTAGATTAAGTCGTTGATCACAACTCACGAGTCGTTTTAGTCAGCTTTGCCCGTTCACATGCGTTCTCTCTGCCCCCTCTCTTCTCCCTCACTTTGCATCGAGTAGTTTTCCTTACTCCAACTTGTTCAACTTTGAGCGCACTTTTGCTAATCGGCTTACAAATGAAAACGAGGCATATTAGCACTTGCTAAGCGAATTAATCAAACTAAAGTTCAGTTTGAGTTCGGGCTTGGAAAACCCATAAAAGAAACTTTTAGTCTGCGCCGATAGAGTGTGTGACTCGAGCATGCTGCAGTCGGTCAGCCCCGGCTGTAACAGTCCCACCTGCCCGTGCTTTAGCCGGCTCTAGCTTTGTCGTGGTCTCCGCACACGGCTGTCACATTAATACTTTTTGAAATTGCAATTTAACTTTTATAGTAAGCAGACAGCGCCCATGGCGCTTTGTCCGGAGCGAGTAAAAAACACAGAGAGCGAGCGAAGAACGAGAAAAATCGAGAATGAAAACTCTGCAAAAAACACAACAATATCTACGTCAGCTGGCGCCGTTCCACTCCGCTCCGCTCCACTTTATAGCCCTGACACTCGCTCGGCCAACTCTCCGAATGGCTTTGAGCAAATCTACTGGCAAATGCGGACGGTGGGACGGCCAAGCGGACGGACGGCCGCTCAAAAGGTTCGCGCGTGTGGATCCAGGAGCAATTCAGCGCTGCCGTTCCCGACTATTTGCAGCTTATCAGTGTTGGGGCAAGGTCCGGCAGCGGCCCGCACAATACATAAAATAACTCAACAGTTGCCAGCACAAAAGCCAGTCGGAAGCGTGTGCGTACGTGTGTGTGAGTGAGGATATGAGATAGTTATTGAAAACTTTCCCAGTCACTGCAGTTTTTTTCAACTATCTTTTTTCTCAGTTTGGCCGGGATTTGCGACGCTGAACTGCGCACAAATTAAAACCCTTCGCTTCATGCTGAGCGGAGAATTGTTGCAAAATAGATTTTTATTCGTTTCACACTCCGTCGCATTGCGTGGCGCTGCTGCTGCTGCTGGCAACAAAAATTGTGTGCTGTAAATTACGTAAACCGTTTACACAGCTGCCCGGCCAAAATTGAAAAGAAATGAAGACTGAAAACCAGCGCGAGGAGAACGTGAGAGCAGTTAACCAACAGCAACAGCAGCAACAACTGCTGAAAACACTCCAGTCGGACGATGATGAGGTAAATGAATGTCAGCTTAGCGCAAAAGCATTCTGTGGCGGCGAAATGGAGGCGCCGCCATTTGCCAGCTTGTTCGCACTGCGTCAAACGGACCAAATTTCAAATGCAGCCGTCGCGCCACTGCAGATGTTAAGCACATTAAATTTTATAGCCCGACAGATGAGATTATCACCCAGCTGCACGCCGCCGACAACTTTTTGGAGACATTAATCTGAGCCATGCCAGCACTACTATGTGTCCAGACGCATGACAAACTGTGGGACACTTTCGCACACAACTCCAAATTCCTTTGTTCCATTGTGGAGAGTAATTGCATCACTAATTACCATACGGTCCCATTCACAATGATCTACCCATGTCCTTCTCTGTTCAGCTGAGGTGCTATAATTCCATTCACTTTATAATTAGACATAGTAAAAGTTCCCAACTCAAAAGTGCTCGACTAGTAGATGCCCTGAACCTAGTGCAGTGTGGCTTCTAATCATTCTACGTTTCTTTTATACACACACTCACACTCACATGAGTACGTGCTCTGCACTTTGTACTTTACTATGCTAACTTAATTGTTGAATAACTTTGTTTCCACATAAACTTTCTTAATCAAATTCTCAGAGCATTCTAATGAAATCCAGATGTGTGTGCTTGCCAAAAGTGTAAGTCTTTAGAACTTAAAATTGAATGCAAAATTATTGGGTAGATAGGAAGGTCTTCAAATTCTGATGGTTCATACATACGATTCCATTTTTATATGTTTCCAGGCTAGCAATATATCGATTATTTTCGAGAATTCGTAAATGAGATAAGATACAATGGTATTATAGTTCGCTGCATTCACACGGACGGACGGACGAGTGAAAGCTAAGGCGTACCAATGGACGGACATTATATGTATGTATATCACATATTCATCATTCAAGTTATATGTATATTGCAATACTTCGTCCTTTATGAATCTTAGACGCAGTTGTGTTTAATGTACACATCATTTACTACACTCTTCAGATGCATATCACAAAAAATGTCACAGTTTAGTTAGTTGCGATAAAGATGTTGCATATATTTTCACATTTTAACTGTCACATAATTTTTTATTATGACAAATTTTTATTCCACAAACTCTTAATTAGTATATAAAAAATCTCAAGCACCTTTCACACACATACACGAGTATTATGTATGAGCTCGCATCGCATTGTCAGTCAAAACTTAACATTCATTTTATGTTAAAATGGGTGAAACACTCTCAAGGCCTCGCAATAGCGCTTTTGTAGCTCCAACTGTGAGAGAACTTTGGGGAAAAAACATAGTCATATTTTTTAATGGAGCTGTCCCGTTGCTTCTGTTGCTATTAAGGCCTCAGTTCAGGATAGAATGAAGTTTTTAATAAAAACTGACAGCATCTGAAGCTGGAAATAATGTCAGGCAGCAGGACAACAACAACAACAACGATAACAACAACAACGGCAAATAAATAGAATAATGAATATGCCGTTATTTCACTGCCTTCTCTCAGCTATCTCAGGCCATATTTAAATAGCAGCACCTGTCATTTACATAAGCATCGTCCTTAGACTTCAGTCACAGTGAAAGTGAAAGTTATTAGAATAAGATACTGTATCTGTATCTGTATCTGTATCTGTATCTGTATCTGTATCTGTATCT